CTGACCTGTCTTTCCAACAAGTGTTAGTCCTGAGCCCCTCGATAAGAGGATTTTGTAAAAATGTTCAAATATCCTTTCCTTCAGCTGGTTTTGCCGTGCTGTATCCCTTGTACTACCAAGTGGTAGCGAGACAGCAGGTAACACATTGACATCATTATGAATTTCCTCCAGGCTAGCAGGGCTTGATCCCCTCCTTAGAGCGAGTGACTGTAAGTCTCAGCATGCCTCCTAGCTGGTGGGTTAGGCAACAGTGCATGACATCCCATGTTGCACCGTGTTTTGTATGTGTGCGCTGGGAGTTTGAGGAGGTTTAGTTATAAGTGAATGTGGTCTGAAAACCAAGACCTGAGGATTAGTAAGGAAATTATTATCACTGTGGCTGCTCTTCTGCAATTTTCTTTACTGTCTTTGGTGTCAGTGGCAGTGGTAGAGAAGGGCTAAAGGAGGCCCTGACAGCAATTACCAGGTAGGGGGGCAGGGATGGAGATCAGCTGACTCTTATCGCACACCTTCGTGTTCCTTGCAACTCTGTATGCGATGGCCCCACTCTGTTGTCATGAAGATAAAGTAAGAAAAACACCTGGTATGGATGAAAGTCCTGCCAACGCTGTTGGTCCAGGTGTCAGGTGATAAGTTACAAGCACAAAGACCATACAGCAATTCAAGAGGAAGTTAAGAACTCATCATTTGGGGGGTGTTTATGCTGTCCTGTAAAAAAAAAAAAAAATGGATAGCAACTCGCAGAATCTATAGCTGTGACCACAGCTTTCAAAATAAGTTTAGTTGTTTGTCTCTTCTGGTAAAACAAGTAAGCTTTGTTAGACCCCAACTCCATGGGGCGCCCAGCGACTAGGGAGACGATGATCCAATCGCTCATGAATCCTGTTACTCATTAGCCAGAGCAAGCAGGGAGCAAACGCTACTTGCACACATTGCTCGCAACAGCTTTGTTCAGAATGGAGACAGCTTCGGACAAAGGTCCCCAAAAACAAGCCAACTGGGGACCTGCACTGAACAATAGTTTTTTCCCACATTTATACACTTTGGTTTAGGTTCATTAAGATTCACTCCACCTCCATCCCTCCTTCTGTTCCACACACTTCTCCTCCTATCTCAAGCTCTGCCTCTGTTTACTGTTTGCTTCATTAACATGGAACTGCCTATGCATTTCATTCATTTACATGTCCTTTTTGCTATGAGCACATGTCTAAGACCTTGACTCCATCAATGGGCGGACTTTGACCAAAACCTGGAAGCTCCTGGAGGCTTCTTCACCAATCACCATTCACCTTTTTGCAGATGTTCACTTTGGATTCTGTTACCCGTTACGTGTTGTTTTTTCACATTCCAATCTGTTTTTGTCTCGGGTTGTACCATCTCCACCTTTTTGGGCCCCTGTATCTTATCTTGTTCCTCAATGTAGCTCGTTCACAGCACACCAACTTATTTGCTGCTTTTTCCAGAAAAATGGTTAACACAATTAAGATGGTTACTTAACATGAGCACTCATAAGCAAAATCTTATATATAAAAACTATATATCTCACAACAATACTCTTGTATGGTTAAAAACTACTTGCCTAAGCATTTGCAGAGATATATATCTATATCTATACATCTCATTCTGCCTTGTGGTCAGCAGCTTCGCTGAGACACAGTTTAAGGCCTTGTTCCAGCTGTAGGGCTAATGCTCCCCAAAAATCCACACAGAGTTACTCTAACAAGCTTGGGCTACTATCTGCTGATATCCCTACCCCTACGTTCAAAAGACCCTCAAAAACTTCACAAATTGCCTTCAATACCTGTGACAGCTTTTAACATTTGTATTATTGAGGAAATCATTAGTAAATAAAAAAGTACGCACGATGCATCAATAGCAAGGCAATTAAGACATTTGACAACACTGATGATGAAGCTTCCCATTGATCAAACAGTAACTCACTGATGTTAATTTACATATTTACTGGTATATTTTTGTAATGAATATTCTGAAGAAATCTCCATGAACAGGATAGATTTGCACTGTGTAAAAAGGTGCTGTTATTGTAGAGAGTATATAGCACAAGACTGCCCTAGCAATGGGCTATGTAAATGTATAAATGTAAGCTATAGAAATGTAATTGTTTCACTTCTCATTTGGAAATGTTTCCATTCTTCCAAACATATTCACTGAGCTTTTCTTTTTCAGGTATAACTTTATATTATGGGTGACTCAAAGTGAACTTGTAAGGGCAAATTATTTACATGTGCCATGGTTAAATAATATAGTAAACCAATGTCTGATCTAAATTTTCAATTGTTAGGATACGCTGAATGCCAACAGAGAGGAAACAGATATTAAAATAAATGTTAGAACTGCAGGGAAGAAAACAGGTTGTTGGTATGATGTTGGATTGTTCCTTAATAAACTCCTTCAGGACTGGAATAATTAAGAGGATTAATAAGATCCTAGTGATATTATGAAAAAGTCAAGAATATTTGTTTTAGAATATCTCTTTTAATTAACTGCAGAAATGTGTTGAGAGTAATAATTAAGGATCTGGAGATAAATGAAAACAGTAAGACCTGCTCTATTATTTATACAGTGGCACTGGTGTGTGTGGTATTTTAAAAGGCATCAGAAAATAGGGTTCGTATTGTCAGCATTTATTAGTAAAATGGAGGCTGGGGTGGCACGGGCACTAAGGCACAGGGTTGACAGTCCAGAGGTCACAAATTCAAGGCCACAGCAGAAAGGCCGCAGCCTGTCAGATGCCAAACAAAATCTGCAAATTCTGCTAAATGCCTTGTTGCAAGGGCATGAAAAAGGGACAGGTAAAACAGGTCCAAAATCAGGAAGAAAAAGAGCACAAGCTTAAATGAAAGTACCTGTCCTGTCCCATTCAACAAACCACCTACGCAAGTGATAAAGTACTTCTTCAAGTACAGTTGGGAGTTGATGCGAATTTAATACGTGTTTGAAGTTAATCCCACGATTCAGTGCTTTGATGAATCACGGCTGCTGGGGGCTGGAAAAGGAATCATTTTAATTAACAGAATTTTTTTTTCTGGTTTTTTTTTGGTTGTTGTTAAAAGGGACAATTAAAAGGGGGAAAGAAAACCTGTTATGGTCAACCAAACTGTTTCCCCCTCCCCCCCACTATGTTTTCAATTAGTTCAGCAAATGAAAAAGTAATTATTTTCTCCAGGGTAGCAAAACACAGGGAAAGGAGAAAAATGCCACCCAGGATGAAAATACAGATTTTTTCATTTGCTTAGTGTATTTGAAACAGCTCAGACTCTGTCCAACGGTACCTCTAACCACCAGCCAACCCTCTCTGGCACTTCTTCACACACTCCAATAATCTTTTATCAGCATTGGAGCTTTCTAGCTGGTTGATTTGTTTTTAAGTCTTTTGTATATTGAATTAATTTTCCAAAAATTTCTTATTCGCTGCTTCCCAGAATAACTTCTTCTGGAACTCCAGAAACATTGACATTTTCCTGGAAGATTGATTTGCATATACTGTAAGATTATATTGTTGTCCCAGACAAAATTTTCAGCTGTGATAGTACACTTGGTGACAAGTTAATATTAGAGGCACATGAAGATATCATCTTCAGTTATAGCAGAGTATTAATCTACAAACGGAGGAAACATTCCCCCAGTTTGTGCAAAGAAAAAAAACATAAATACACTTCCCTAAATAGAGGCTGTTGGTAGGTGACATTCACAAGCAGAGCTGATAACAAATTAAGAAAGATTAGGTGGGTCTACTTAATTCTGTGGTATGGATTTCACTAAACAGAACAAAAAACCAGACCCGTCTGGCATAACCAATGTGCATATGGTTGTTATTTTTGGATTAAGCTATCATAATAGGCATAGGCCTATCTGCAGCCCTGCATCTGAATGCTCACAGCTTGTACAGAATTCAAATCCCCCCAGAAACGGACATTTCAATGAACATTTACTTAGAAAACTGCTTTTTCTTACATTAAATCAGAAATTCACAAAAATGTGAGCAGTAGCCCTCCACGGACTCTGTCAATGAACAAGCATCTGAAAAAAAGAGTTTTTTCCAACCTTCCTTCATATTTACATGCTGTCCTTGTATACAGAACTTTTTGTATCTTTGTTAAAATAATTCTATAGGAAAGCCAGCGTTTCACAGCAGAGAATGAAATATTCTTTAAATTGCCATTTACCTGAAGAAAACGACATTTGCTGAGATCTGACTTCTATGAAAATTGTCAATTACCAGCATCCTGGCAAATCACTCCAGCTTTAAGACGACACCAATATACATTCACGCATTGCTGCTATTCAATTGGCTCAACAGTGTTAAGTGCACAAGAGACGCTTGTTATTCTCTAGCTATCAAATACTACAGTTCTTCATTTCCAGGGTTAGATTACATTTCCTCAACTTTACTTATCTTAAAGTTGCATATAACACAAAGGCACCACAAACCCAAAGGTCCTGGCAATACTTCGGTATCCGTTTTTTAAACACCGAGAGGAGGGAATTTGATTTCTCCTGATTTTATGATCCCAAAGGATTTCCACCGCCATGTCCAAACCAACCCATTTAATTACCTGGAAACATGTTATCACATGAGAAAACAGTGGTGGTCATTGGGAACCTATGACTTGTGCATCAAGGACTGAGAAGAATGTGCGTTTTAGGTAATTATCTATTTTGCTATAACAACCATTTTTTAAACATACAGTTCTCTTTTTTAAATTCAGTTGTTCTCATACCATTTCCAGCTTGAATAGGGTCTTTTCTCAGAATGAGAAGGTCCTTCTCATTATTTAAACCTTTAAAATATTTATTATCCCTAGAGAGGAGAAAAAAGCATAGCCTTCAGAACCGAGTTTGGACATCTTTTCCCTCTTTCTCTGGGAGCAGACAGAAGGGCTGTGAGCAAATACTCTATAGCATCATGTTAAAATGTGCACCCACAGCCTGCCATTAGCAAATCACACTCTTATGTTGTAATGGTAAAAGCTTCTTACCGTAATAGGTGAGACGTCCTCTGGCAATGTTTTTCCCTCTTGAGTTTTCGGTAATACACTCATAAAGCCCCGCATCTTCCTGTTGGAAATTGGGGATTTCAATCATGCCATTAGATTTCCTCAGTTTTACTTTACTTGGAAATGGCAGGCCATCAGTCCTTCTCCAGTTTATCTGAGGCACAGGACTTAAAAAAAAAAAAAAATCATGGGATTATGCACTGTTTGTAACGGCTGGTAGAATACTATAGTAAATGATTTGCAAATATGTGACCTTTTCCCATTTATTATTACTTATGGCATCAAATTATTCAGTACTCATGAGTGAAAGACCTCTGTTTTTGCCTGCAATGGTGTTTCAGCACTTTGCCCTTAATTGTCATTGGATAAAATGGATACACAGCAGCAGGATAGCTTCTACCCCATTGGAGAAGGTGGAAGAACTCAGGGCCCCCTCCCCTGCAGGCCAGTGTCCATCTCTTCTCCTCCTCCCCATATCTTCCCCTTTGGCTGCCCAATTAGCTAGTTTTAGCAGGAGGTGTGGAGGAAGCTCTTGGCTCCCTTGTAGGCAGTGACCTTTTGTTCAGGATCCTTCACTGGGAAGTGGGTAAGACTCAAGACCCTTTCAGGGGGGTGCGGGACAAGATAAGACAGAGGATATAATTTGGGTCTTCTGCTTCCTAGCCAGGTGCCCTAACCACTAGGCTACTGGCCTAATAGCTAGGAAAGTCTGCTTGTTCCTCCATTTTGACACTTACACAGTATTAGGTGTCATTTTAGGGGAACTGAATCAAAATGGGTATAAGTGACACCAAATACTACTAACACTGCTAACTCAGCTATGTAAGTTCTCTAGGTAGAGTTGGGTAACTTTTAGCCAAAAAAAATTCTTTGTACACCTGGTCTCCTCTGTATGCGTGGAAGCGAGTGCCTTGCCCACTCCTATGATCCAGACTGGTTTTGAGAGACAAACTCAATACTTAACTCTTGATTCTGATTCCTTAAGTGAGCTCAGAGCCTGTCAGGCAGTTGTTTGACGCTAAGAGCATGCATGCAGATCAACAGAAAATGAAAGCCGTGGTGGTGATAGTGACCAGCACTATTTATGTCTGAGCATCAATGAATGTTGAATGTAAAATGCATAAATAGTTCTGGCAGTTGGGGCTGTAACTCAAGACTCTCCCTTCCAGTGGAGTGCCACAGCTACTAGGTCACAAAATTACACTCCTTTTCATATGTTCACCTGCTGCCCCATAAATCCTTCCCAATTGGCCAACCTTCCCAGAGGGGGTGGTGGGGACTCCATCACTCAACCTAATGTAGAGCTAGGTGGTTATGGTACTGCTCTGGAACATGGGAGATGTGTATGTGTTTAAATCCCCTCAAAGTGAGGAGAGCCTTGAGACCAGGCCTTGTAGACACTGTCTCTCACCCTGTTCTCATTAAAAAACTGGGG